GAGGGGGCCCCGGTACCTGCTGAGGCGGGTAGGGCCCAGCGGGGCGGGCTCCCCCTCCTCGGGCCGCGGCTGACGGCGTGAGGCCTCGCTCCCGGCCTCCGCCCGAAGCGAGCCGTGTCTCGGTGGTTTCCCTCTGGAGCAAGGTCCGCAGTCGGGGGTCCCGGTGTGACAGCCGCTTGTAGGGCCTCCCTGGAGGAGCGGGGCGAAGAGGAGTGGTGGGGGTAATTTATTCTATTCCGTAATTATTGCTGCTAACGAAGCAGCCGGGGAGGGAAAGGGCTTCCCCTGTGAGATGCCGGCTGCAGCTTCCCAGGCCTGCAGGAGGGAGCAGGGGCAGGCCCGGCCTGTTTGCTTTGCACTGCCTGGCCTGTGCCTGTCCCTCTGCCAGGGCCCTGCAGCTTGGCATGAGCTGCCCCGGTCGCTGCCCTGGGGAGCAGGCGGCACTTCTCGTCGGGTTGGGCAATAAACCTCGGTGGCGTTTCCAGACCAGCCTAGCCCGCTGTGGGGGCAAAGGAAGGCAGGTAGCAACCCCGACGCTTGGCAGAATGACAGATCCTGTCTGGTAACAGCACGGAGCTAACTGACTCTGGACATGGGAGGACATTTTCTGCTCATTTTGAACCTGATGTGATGGTGTTTGAGTAACGCAATCTTTTCCTCAGGAAATATTTGGCCACTGGTGAGATTACAGATCCTGCTCTTCTCCCCTGCACGGGAGGGGCTATTGGCCTATCAGATCTGAGTGCGCAGGCTGTAATCTTAATCTGTTCATGACAGCCCTGCTACAGGTGCAGGCTCAATGCATCTTGTGAGCAGAATCTCATGGTAATGTGTTTCTTGGGCACATCACACTTGAGTTCAAAATGTTCTTGTAAATGTTTATCACAGAACTTTGCTGCAAGGTTAAAATGTCTGTGTAGCATTGCCCTGAGACTGATGATACCTCTTTTTCTCTCTCTTTTTCTTTTTTTTCTTTTTTCTAAAAAAAAAAAAAGTACCTAAAACAGTGGAAATAATTGAAAGCTTCCTACTAATAACAGGCTGTTTTGATGTGGTCCTTATTGCCTGGTTTACTGACATAAAGAGAATTACATTTGTCACTGGCAGTCTTACAAACTTTTAGTTCTGCTATGCTAGCTGTGACTTTTTTTTAAATTATTTTTGTGTTTCGTTCTGTTTGACCAGTGATAATTGGCTAGCCAAGCTTTTTTCTGTCTATAGTCAGTGTCCCATTTTGGTTGTTTGTGTAAAGGTGGTGCTGGTGTGTTTTGGTTTGTAATCTTGCAGGGAAGTGTGCAGGGAGGGTCATAAATCTGTAGCAGTGTTTGGTGGCTTGTTTTTTGTGTGTATGTGTCTTTTGTTTTACTTACAGAGCAATATCTTAAATTTTGTCATTTCCCTGTTGAGCAAAAGTGAAAGTTAGATGCTGGGTACAAGCTTCTGCAATCAGTTACCCTTTTTAACTTTTTGTAACTGTAGGCTCCTCATTCAGAGGAGACTAGGTGAAAAATCATAGTAATATTAAAAAAATAAATCGGAAGCGATCTGAAGCATCCTCTTTACTAAAAGAATTTAATGACTAAGCTATAACAGAAACATTTACTTATGCAGTCACCTCCATAAAAGGCAGTGTTAATTAAATCTGTTACTGCCCAACCTCAGGCTTCAACTAGAACCTCTCCTCTGCTATCCCAGGCGTGGATGGAGGGCATGGTACCGTACTATTATTCCCACAGATGTTCACGGAAGTCACTGAGAGAAAGGAGCAGGAGCATACACAACAGTCCTGTCTCAGCACAATGCAAGTCTAGGTTTGAATTGTTGCCACCTTGAAAACTGGGCTGTATTTGAAATCTTAATAGTCCCACCAAAATGATGTAATTTCACTTTTAACTAGTCCGTGGCAACAGGTACAGGTTTACAGGGTAGCTTCTAGAATGTTCTAGCACTCGAATGCAGCGTTGCGTTCAGGGTAACGCTCAGAGGCGCTGGCCTGTTAATTGCAGGGTTTTGATAGGCCCGATATTGCTGCACCAAGCCCTATGGGGGAAAATACAGCCCAGTTCTTGTTCATAAGTTTTAGTTCTGTGGGTTTTTCCCCCTTCCCCAGAACCCTTGATCTTGAAGATGGTGAGTAGCCAGCCTAAGTACGATCTAATACGGGAGGTTGGTCGTGGCAGTTATGGTGTGGTGTACGAAGCAGTCGTCAGGAAGACCTCTGCACGGGTCGCGGTGAAAAAGATTCGGTGCCATGCTCCAGAGAACGTGGAACTAGCTCTGCGTGAGTTCTGGGCACTTAGCAGTATCAAGAGCCAGCATCCCAACGTCATTCACCTGGAGGAGTGCATCTTGCAGAAAGATGGTATGGTGCAGAAGATGTCCCATGGCTCCAGTTCCTCCCTTTATTTACAGGTACATGAAGCTGAGGTAATGGGGTGGAAGTAATTAATATGGATGTGTAGCTGGGAGGGAAGGAGGTGGGCAGCCATGATGATTTTTTTTTTTGAGGTATGTTTAGTTAGGAGAGGGTATTGTTTGCATTGTTGACACCCAAAAATTATTCTATACCTTTAAAAGAGTGTATCTATTGAACAGTCACCTGTATCTTGTAGTTTGAAGCCATGCCACTCTAAAAGACTCCGTGATTTTTTAATGCAAATCTGCTTTGATAATTTAAGGAAATGCCACAGGTAAAGCAGAAGGGAGGTGTAGGCTGTTGTATTACTTGATAGAAGCCCTCCTGCAGGGTTAATGAGCAGACCTGTACTAATGTCTTGAGACAGAGCTCCGAAGAATTTCTTAATTTCGGATGTCCTTGGAAGAGGAAGTAACCATCTTGATTTAGGAAGCCAACACTTAAAATTCTTTCAGAAATAATAAGCAATTGGTAGTGTGTGGTGAGCCATTTTCTTTTTTGAATAAATAACTATTAATCTCTTCCAAGAGAGGTAAAGGTTTGATAAATAAGGGAATAAATATTGCTTGCCCTGTATGACTACTGAAAGTGTCCTTTAAGTTGCCTTTAAGTTTGAAGATGCGTATTTTTGAAGAATAAGTAGCTCTTGAAAGACTCTACGGATAATCTGATTCATTCCCTTGTCAAGAAGCTGCCCCAACTATAAATCATCCCCTGGCAGAAATTTGTGTCTCTAGTTTAAAAAGTCAGTAGCCCACTCAATGTTTATTGTGTTATCCCTAGTCAGCTTTTATCATTTCAGTTTTTATTGTTGTCATTCTTGCATGTCTAATGTAGGACCTTTTGTTAGTGAACATTCATCTGACAACCCTTCAGGGCTGTCCAGGTCCTGTTGTGCCAAGTGCTGTACCAGCCTGAGAAGGAGGATTCTTGCCTTTGTAAACTTGCTGTAGCTTGGTAGTTGTTACTGGCCTGCTTTTGTGAAGGGATTAGGGTAAAATAATACTGGCTAGCTCCTGTGGGAGAAATTAGTGCCTTACCTTCCTAGTCATGAGTGGCTCTGTGAGAGATTGCATCAAACTTGTGGACAGCTGTACAGGGAGGAGCTTAAAAAAAGCAGGGTGGAACTGCAAGGTGGGGGAGAGCTTTCGGATCACCTGCAGCATTGTTTTTTATGGTAGTGCCTATTAACAATGCAGCATATAGATCCCTGTCTGGTGCAAGCGCTACAAATTGTTTTCCTGCTCCAGAGAGCAAAGAGCAAAGGGCAGAGCTGAGTTGACTCTGAAGAGACTGGGATCAGTTTATAATAGCATGTGTTAAAATAGAGAAAATCAGATCTCCCTTGGCTTGCCCTCTCCTCTCCCCACCCCAGGTGATATTACGTTACAGAGCTGAACGGGTGCAGTGTGTGAGGAGGCTGGCCAGGGAGGGGGTATTAGTGTCTCCTGAAGGGCTTTGGGGCAGGTGCTTAGCTGGTGTCAGCTGAGCTAAGACAGTAAAGCAAGAGTCCTAAACTAGCCTAGTCTTGTGGTGCTTTGCCACTGTCACAGACGTGGTAGTGGATTTTGTTGTCTTAATGCTCTGAACTGAGATGCAAGTACAGCTTCTGTACAGCCGTGTGGAGGGGAGAGGTGTGTGTGGGTGCTCACTTGGCAAAGGAGACTCCCTGCTGTCCTGTGATACCTTAATCTCACTGTTACTGACTATAAGACCTAAATACGTATTTTTCTAGTTCTAACATGGATTTACTGTTTTAAGTTGATCCCATTTGAGTACTAGCTGTGCTTGTAATTAAAGGTAGCTATAAATTGGTAGCAATTTTGCTCTTGGATGGAAGAGGTTGCTTTTTAAGGCACTTTAAAATGCCTCTCTAAACATTAGTAGCTACCTTAATTTTTGAAAGCCTGTAGGAGCTACATTTGGTTCAGTATACATTGGTTTACTACTAACAGAAATAATTGCGAGGCTTACCTTCCAGAGCATGCCAAGAGCCACCTCAGAGGAGCCGAAGAGGCAAATGTGTAGTTTTGTAAACAGGATTAGTAAAACTGACTGCTGGTTTTACTTTGCTTTTTGTATGAAGCAGCTATTAGAACTGGCTGCTCAAGCTACTCACTGCTTGTATTCTAGAAAACAGCTAGTGGGTGGTGGTGGTGGGAAAGGTGTTATGTGCAGCAGCTGTTCAGCTGTGCCTGTAGACTGGCATTCTCCTGAGTTAAGGGATCCTGTGTTAACACTTGCTAGAACACGTTAATGTGTAAGGAATGGAGAATAGGCTTTGAAAATCTATTGTGGCACTGCTTCATCAGTGGAGGACAAATAGAACCCCCTGGCACTGTATGGAGTTTGTTTATACATTAAAGTTGTTAGCAGAATGGGTGGGACAGGCTTTGTTGGGGTGGGACACTGTCCAGCTGAAACAGATGGGAGTGCAATGGCCACTCAGTATCTTTCAAAATACTGTTATCTGGGTCTAGCTCTAGCTTTTGGGCAGGAGTGTCAACTTGATACGCTTCACGTGCATGAAAATAAGGAGGCTGCCAAATAACATTGTGTTGTGTTTATTTTTTTTTTTTACATCAGAAACTTTGCATAAAGTTTTATTTTCACTAGTTGCAATATCTTGCTCTCTGGATTGTCGAGAGGAAGATCCAAACTTCATGCATTTTTCCATCATATCTTTATATTCTTGTGGTCATCAGGTAGTTACGTTTCTTTTCCTTGTTGCAGCTTGTAGAGACCTCATTAAAGGGAGAAATAGTCTTTGACCCCAGAAGTGCTTATTACCTCTGGTTTGTAATGGATTTCTGTGATGGAGGAGACATGAATGAGTATCTGTTGTCCCGAAAGCCGAACCGCAAGACCAACACCAGTTTCATGCTTCAGCTCAGCAGTGCGCTGGCATTCCTGCACAAAAATCAGATTATTCATCGTGATCTCAAACCTGACAATATTCTGATATCTCAGAGCAGGATGGATGCTAGTGACTTGGAACCTACCCTGAAAGTAGCTGATTTTGGGCTGAGTAAAGTATGTTCAGCCTCAGGACAGAATCCCGAGGAACCAGTCAACGTAAATAAGTGTTTTCTATCAACTGCGTGTGGGACTGACTTCTATATGGCCCCCGAAGTCTGGGAAGGACACTACACTGCCAAAGCAGACATCTTTGCGTTGGGAATTATAATCTGGGCAATGTTGGAAAGAATCACATTCATAGATACGGAAACAAAGAAAGAACTTCTGGGGAGTTACGTCAAGCAGGGGACAGCAATCGTCCCTGTTGGAGAGGCGCTTCTAGAAAACCCTAAAATGGAACTGCTCATCCCCGTAAAGAAAAAATCCATGAATGCTCGAATGAAACAGCTGATCAAGGAAATGCTGGCTGCCAACCCGCAGGACCGACCCGATGCTTTTGAGCTAGAACTGCGATTAGTTAACATAGCTTTTAAAGACAGCAGCTGGGACACGTGACCTGCCTGACATCTCTTGATAAGAGCTGCTTCTCACCTAACTGATGGTGCAACTTAATGGCAGTAAAAGAAACGAGCCTGAACTCAACCTGCAGGGTGTAGTTTCTACCAAACGAATCTCTTTTTGAGTTTCATAAATGATACGAATGTGAGTTGGCCGTTGTGTTAACAATGCGTTGATGTGTATAATACCAGGATGTTACATGCAAGTGTAAGATGTGACAATGTTCGTTTGTGTATGCTGGCAGTGGGATGTCTTAAGAGCTGAGACTTGGTTTCCAGCACTATGTCATGGAGTATTTCATACATTCCAGTTTCCTATGTCAGTATTAGGAACTCTTATGGAAAAAAGAGATTTGCATGCTGGTAGTGCAAATCTTCAGGCTTTGTAAAGTAATTCTGTGTATATATTTATGTATACGAGTGACTGGGAGTGTATGCCACTTTTCTTAAATTATTTGCTATGGGTCTGAATGATTGCGGTCTGCTAGAAAACTAGGTGAAGAAGATAGATGAGAAGCATTCCTTCTTCTCCAGGCCTGAATAACTTTATTATTTATTTTTGTTATCTAATGTCAAAGGTAGGGTCTGAGACTTGACTTTGTAGACAAAAAATGCAATGCAAGGGGATCAGCAGTTTTTTAAAGTGCTGACATGGCCAAGCTTAGCACTTACAGCTTAATGAGCTTGTCACTGAGGGAGTCAAATTAAAAATGGATGCAATCAGGTGCTAGCATGTTGGCTAGTTCATTAATCATTTGATTTTGCTTTCTTCTAATAATCAAATACTTTTAACCAGTTAATCTACAGTTTCACAACATGCTCTCTACTCTTCTATCTATAATCCAATAGCACCTTCAGGATTTATAATAGCAGAGTACTGTGGGCTTAGTTTATGGAAATGTGGGTAAGGGAATCCAGCAGCATAGAGTGTTATTTTTAAGATTCTTCAAAATATGGTGGCAGCATAGTTTTCCTGTTAACTGAATCTGACTAGTAATACTGGTCATGGCCTCTTCCTTTCTGGCACTGCTTCTAATCTGGTAGTGATGAGGAGATAAAGGGGTGACTGTTTGTCTTGTAGAACACACCTATTCTCAAATATGGGAGAAAACTCAGTAACCAGTATGTGAAAGGTATCTGATTTGTGTTGCAACCTTGGCTGATTTTTTTTTTATTTGTTTTCCTCCATTTAAAGAAGTAATATTTATTTAAAAGCACAGATGATAGGATGGAAAGCTTTGAAGTAGTTGAAAGGCTGCTTATCCCCAGCTCTTACTCCCCAGAAGCAGACTGATATGCTAAGAGAGGTTTCACTGCAGCCACCTGACACTGTACGGCAGACAGAAGCTGCTTTGTAATAGTATAGCACTTAGGTCATGGTCCTGCACCCACAAGAACATTCTCATCAATCTGACCTTTTGGAAGAAGTAGAGTCTTAAAAAATTGCCTTTAAAGCTGCAACAAAGGCCAGCTTTCTTAAAATCAATTTAATGGTTTGTTTTGGTTTTTTCCCCAAAAACTTACCCGAAAACTGCCGTAAGTATTTCCTTGTATAATTTTTTTCTCAGATACTGTTCCCTCTCAGTGCTGAGAGCAGTTCTGATCAGTCAGGGTTTATTCTGCCTGAGTATGAATAAACAGCACAAACAAAATATAATTTTTTTTTATTCTTCCAAAAGCAAAGGATTCTGATTCTACCAGACTTCTGGGGCTTTACAGACTACAGGTGGTTCTTACCTGGTGCTGTGTAGAGCAGGTGCCAGATACCCATGGGGCCTTAGTCCTTAATTCTTGTTATTTTGCTTCACTTTATTGTTTAAGGCAAGTTGTCTAAACAGTGATTCTTGGACAAATACACCTTGCTGTCTCTAAACAATGTAGATTGCTTAGAAGATGCTAGAGAAGTAACTTTTAGAGACAGTGTTCCTGACTACAGCAGAGTGCCTCACTTCAGCATCAGTTGGCAGGGACAGAGGCGGCTGCATCGTACCGAGGATACAGCCTGTTGCCTATGTGGCTGTCCCAGTGTTGCTCCTTCCCTGCAGGGAGCTTGGTCTATAAAAGATGACTTGGAGCCTATCTGTGAGCAACGATAAGGAGAGATCTGTTTATTCTTGTGTTCTAGAAGGGGAGATCTGTTTGTTCTCATGTTTTAACTGACTTCAGTACCACTGAAGCCTCAGCTTGTTACTGAAAGGAGGAAAACAAACCTGTCGCTGTCTGTGCCAATACTGTTTCACAGTACTTATATTTCAGTGTGGTCATTCGATGAGTAAAGTTTTAAGAGGGTATATCACTTTTCCTTGTTAAACTTGATCTTTTTAAAAATACCTTGTTAACTTCCTTCTCTCTTGCCCACCAAAGTCAGAATCAACTGTATTATCTTGAAGTATGAATCCTACTACAGAATAATACTACTTACCTCTAAGGCACTTTGCAAATCATCTGATTCTCCTCTGAGGTATTTCAAAGGATGCACACCAAATGTGCTGCCTGCCTGCAGTGCAGAAACAAGTGAATGGCACAGTAAGGTTTTGGGTTTTTTGACTCCCAAAGTGTTTCTTTGCACTGATTGCCACTTTAAAGGGTGGGGGTACCTGAAATCCCTCTCATGGTGCTTAGCCTTGCTGTTGGGTGACACTGAGTGTTTCCTTGGTTAACACTGAATGGTAGTCCTTGAGGTCTGTGTTCTGTTTGATTTCTGTTGTCTGAGGTCTTTGTTTTAAAACCTTTGATAAATCAAATTGTTGTAGCAGCTATGGAGTTACTCACCAGCGTGACACAAAGTCAAGATACTTTTCAGCACTCAGAAAAGATTTTTTTTCAAATCTTTCTTTAAAAACTGTAAAATATATTTTATGGAGAATTTATAATGAGGAAATTTATTGTGTAATTTATTAAGTTCATGACTGTTTTTGAAATAAAATCTGAATTTCAATGAAGTTTCTGACCTTTCTACAGAGAAATGCTTTCTTCTCAGTGCAGTGTCATCTAGCTGTGAGCAAAGCTGCAGAAGGGTTTATTTGCTGTGCTAGGACAGAAGTAAGCTGTAGTACTTCACAGTCACACCGTAAGTGATCCTAAGCTTGTAAAAGGTGCTAGGTTGGCTAATAGCTGTGCTGCTCATCGTCTGTGGGTAGCGGCAGTGCCAGACTTCCACTGCTGGAGGATTTGACAGAGGGAGGCCAAACTGGATGTGAAAACAGAGCTGGCTCCTGGACCACTTGAAGTGAGCCATGTCTGTGTGGGCCCTGCGGCTTCTGCCAAGCCCTTGAAGAATCAAAACAGTGCTCTTCTGGGTGTACCTCACTTTCAAAGAGGGGATTAAAGACTAAAAGCAGCATTCTTGCATCCAGTATGTGCTTGAAGTTGTTATTACAAGCAGACTGAGTACCACCCTGGGCTGTAAGGGAATCTCTGGCAGGCTCTGCCTACCCTGCTACTGGTACCGCTGGATTTTTGAGGCTGCAAATAGATGTTGCTGCTCTCCTGGGCACTGATGCTTCTCTCGTCGAAGCAAGCCTTTCCCCTCTAGTTCCTGCCTTTGCCGGGGTAGGATTTCACCCAGAAAGCTGCCAGCCCTTGTTCTGTGGGTGAACCTCGTTATCCCCCCTGTGCAGAGGGCTGAAGGCAGCCCAGCTAATGTGTGCTCTGCTGGGTTTCCCTCCTGTGTAGGAGGGCCGAGCGCTGCTGGCTTCAGCTGGAGCTGGTGGAGGGAGCAGGCGTGTGCAGGCTGCTGGGGCTGAACTGGGTGTAGATGGTCTGGAGGTTTGTGAGGGATAGTGGCCTGCTGGTCTCACATGCCCCAAGAAACCTTAGAAATAAAGGTGAGGAAACACTATTACTTCTACGTGCTACAGGAGCCTAGGAGTCATTTGCATGTTTTAATTAACAGTGCTCTGGAACAAAGGGTTGTGCAGACTGGGAGTGGGAATAGTGCAAACTGGAAATGCTGTAAATTGTTTTGTCTTGCCATTTCTTACCCCCGCAACACACCCAAGCCCAGTCATCTGCTGCGTGCCATGCGCTTGCATTGTTGCCTGCGTATCCTGGTGCCAGAAATCAGCAGATTCCCCACCTGGCAGGAGCTGCGTGGTTAAACCCGTAAATCAATGCAGTCATTGCAAAAGAGAAAGGGATTAAAATTTAGATTATTTTTTATTAAAGGATAAGCACCTTAATTAAAGGAGAAGGTCACACATATTTGATTAGTTGTAAGACTGGTGTTTTTAAATATAGACACAAGCTAAATTCCTCCCCCGCAAAATGAAGAAAACTAAGCCTACGTACTTGAAATATATATCTAGTCCATAGAGGAGGGAAAAAAATCTCCAAGGAAATGCACTGGTGCAGAAATTAGATGTAACTAAGGCTGCGTCTCAGCTGGAATAACCCAACCTTCGCTTTATTTTCCTTTTTTCTGCAGAATGCCGAGGCCTTGGGCTCCAGCTTGCCCAGCCCGTTTCCTTGGGCAGGGCTTGGCTAGGCGATCCCTGCTCTGCAGCGCTGGGCTTAGGAACTCGCCTTGTTTGTATTTTCATTTTGTGTTGGTTTAAACAGAGTTTTCCTTCATGCCAGCCAATCGTTGGTCCTGCGCAAAGTGCAGCGTAATGGCAGATGTTGCTTTGTGGTTGAGATAAGTCCTGTCTTGGGGAGCCGGCAGCCGCCTGCCCGCCCCTTGGAAGGGTGCCCTTGCTTCAGAGAAACAACTTTTTTTTATCCCCCCAGCCCCATGCAGTGGCTGGCTGAGCCGACACACATGCTCAGGTGGCCTTTGGACCGGGGACAGCACAAACGGCTGAATTTTTGTGTTGTTTTTCCCTTTGTTCCACCCATATCCAGTGAATCCTTCTATGGGGTATATCGATTGTTAAGTGTTTTTAATCTTTACTGGTGGTTTTTGTGGTGAACGCAGGGAGTTGTCCCACAGATAACTAGTTAGGAGTATTTAAACACAAACTCTATTTAATGGGCACTGCTGAGCGTTGACTGTTTAGTTTCCTTTTCGGTTGGAGGGGCTGGGGAGCCGTTTATGCAAAGTGCAATTTCTATTCTGAAGTGCAATGAAGGAAGAGGGATGTATCTGAAATGCCACAAACTGTCCAGACCGTCTGCGCTGTTTGGGGAGGGGTGGGAGGTGGAAATACAAGACTGAGCTGCTGCAGATCTCTCTTCATTAGCTCTGTAAGCGTTTTTGGGGAGCCTGAGACCGCGGACACTTGTAAGCAGAGCAAGCGAAGCATGGAGAAGTGACCTGAAGGATGAGCCAACACCACCACTGCGTCGCTGCGAGGGGAGCCGAGGCCCAGGTCATGTTCTTCTGAAATCCCTTTGTTCCCAGATGAATTTCCAGATTATTTGGGTGCCTGAAGCAGAAGGCAATTGCATAAGGGCTGCAGTTCATGAGGAGCAGCTGGGGCCAGTGCAGGGGCCACGGGCTGAGCCGTGGGGCTGGTGGTGGTTGGAGATGCAGCCGCTCTCTTTGGGGCAGCCCCATATTCCCAGCTCCCGTCCCACACTCCACCAGGTAAAGCGTGCTGGGCTGGGGTGCTGGAGGACACAGCTGACTTGCTTTGCATCCTCCTGAAGAGGGCAAAGGGAGAACTGCTGCTAGAATTGCAAGTGCTCAGAGGCCTCTTTAATCTCTGGGGTTTGAGATGAAAAGAGATGCAACCTAAAAACCTTTGCGTGTCCCTTGCAGCAGGTGGTGGGTTCAGCCTAGATGCTCGTTGTTGACCCTGGGGAGCCTTCCCTCAGTCCTGGCAGTGCCTTCCATCTCTCTCTGCCTTTCCTGTCTGTCCCTGTGGTCCCAGTACTGACCTGTTTTGCTCCTATTGTGGTTTAGCCCCAGCCAGCAACTGAGCACCAACGCAGCCGCTCGCTCACTTCCCCTCCACCCAGTGGGATGGGGGAGAGAATCGGGGGGGGGGGGGGGGGGGGGGGGTC